TTCTGACCAGAAAGAGGTAGTAGTGATTTTTTGTTTGTTTGTTTGTTTTTGAGGGGATCCCAAGGGTATATGCTGTGTGAGTGTCTCATCTATATGCATGTTAATAATTGGGTTTTGTTTCTTTATTTTGTTCTCATTTTAACCCCAAAGAAAATGAAATTTATTTTTTCCATTTCTAGCTCTGACTTAAGCTTCAAAACAAAATGTTGTTCATGCACAGTTGAGATGATAGAACAGAATTGTAGTATACCATAGTACAGAATTTTGGAATATTCATTTATTAAAAGGAGAATTGAACTCCAGTCAGTACTTTCTTTAATTTTAATATCTCAGACTGCATTAGTTGATTCAGAATCAACTACTAATAGAGTTCATAGCTTGGCCAAGTGCCACAAAGTCTGGTGAGCTTTAGATACATAATGGCTCTCTTTTCAATGATTGCTAGAGCTTTTGGCAGTAAAAGGGGGAAAATGAAAGGGAGCTATGTGTAATAGCTTTCTTGCCTGAAACGAGTATTCTTGGTAAGATTAAAAGTAGAGACAAGCTGAGGCTCTGAGTAACGGATCCGAGGTCACATCACAGCCAGCATCAGAAAGTAGCAGCCCTAATAGAAGAAAAGACAGAAAGTAACTACTGAGGAGCAGGCTCTCAGAGAAGCTCACTTGGAAAGGCCATACCAACGTAGAGGGTTGTTGTTTTTTGGGGGTGGGGATGGGGAAGGTGGATGTCCTTCATAAGGAAATTATGTTGTGTTCAGTCAAACATATAAGGGGAAAGTATTCTTTTTAAATTATGAAGTATGTAATATCTATAAAAACAAGTAGAATAATGTATTTCCTTTAGCTTGAGAAATTAAACAATACAGCTATAATTGCTACCCCAAGTTTCCTTCCTTAATCCTATTTCCTCTCCTGTTTTCCCAAAAGTAACATTCTCTCCAGTTTGGTGTTTCCTGTGCATGTGTTTATGCCATATATATCTCATACAATATTGTAAACATGTTTTAAACCTTATTTAGAAGATATTATACTGTATAATATCCTTATGCAATTTGTTCTTTTTTGCTTAATACTTTATGTAGTTGATACCTGTGGTTCTGATTCATTCATTTTTAACTATGTGGTATTTCTTTCTGTATTGCACATATTTAACTATTCTCCTGTTGACTGAAAGCCTTTTTAGCTGAATATTTTAGGGGGACAGGAAAGAGAAATATGTTATGTCATTTTAAAAGTTAGATTAAGAATGTTGTTTTGACTTTCAAAAAAGCCAGTTTCCTCCTTTGGTGTGGAATGTCCTCATTTATCGTTTTCCTGGGAAAACCCTTTATACTTCCTGAGAGAAGGCGGAGAAGAGTAATGTTTCATTACACAGATGAACGTGTCTTGTACAAAATGCAGAACAGCATCTGCTATATTACAGTGAGCTCATGAGGGACTGAGCTGCAGCAAAAGCTTGGTTAGTTCTATTAAAATTCTCAGATTTTTCAAGCGCAGAGAAGCTGTGAATGAAAACTTGTTGGTATTTATTCATTGTTTCTTTTCTGTGTTTGGAATAATTTGCAATTTGGAACTACCTGCTTTATTTTGTAAAAGGATATGTCACTTATATGGTTAAAAACACAACTGTTCTTGGATTGTGTCATGGTTTTGATGGAGTGAAGGAAAAACAAGGTGTGGGTCTGAGGGGAAGTACTTCTTTTTGAGGAAGGTGGTGTGAAATAAGTATTTGTTTTAGTAATAAATCATATATATATATATATATATATATATATGGCAGTGTATATTCTTTCTTTGTAGTCATTGATTTAAAAGATCTCTGATAAATATTTTTTCTTCCCAGTTTCATGCTGTCTTTTATTTGCAATATCTTTGATATGGTTTGAACAATTTTGCAGAATACACAGTACAGAACTTCATTCAGGTTTCCCTCCAAATGATTTGCCATAATGCATTAACCAGAAATGCTGATGCAGTGAGGGAAACACTAATAAATTGGATGCTTTCCAGGGACTGTAGCGAAGGCAAAGCAAACACAAGCCAAAACTAAGAAGAAAACATTAGTTAGGCACCCAAGATGTAGTCTGGTCAGATATGCTATTAACAGTGAATATCCCATTCTAATTAAATTAATTGAGGCCTGGGCAATTTGAATCACCAGACTGTCTATTAAAAAAGTGACCCAACTTTAAGCATATTAGAATTAAGGGCTAGTGCAAGAATAGTCTTTCGGCTATAATTTATTTAGAATGAAAACTTAAATTATTTGCTTTTTCTTACTGGATGGATTCTGATGCCTCAAGAATGATTAAACTCAACTGTCTGTTTTTTCCATTGTGGTTCTGATGGAAAGGGTGCTGAATGGACCTGCAAGTAAAAGAAGAGTTTTTTGTTTGTTTTGTTTTGGTAGGAATAATTAGATGGAAAGAGGAGAGAGGGTATCGCTAATTAAGAATGGTTTTTGTTTTTTCACTATTGCTATTTTTCTTGCAAATCACACTAATTTTTTTTTTTATATCTTTATTGGAGTATAATTGCTTTACAATGGTGTGTTGGTTTCTGCTTTATAACAAAGTGAATCAGTTATACATATACATATGTTCCCATCTCTCTTCCCTCTTGCGTCTCCCTCCCTCCCACCCTCCCTATCCCACCCCTCCAGGCGGTCACAAAGCACCGAGCTGGAGCTGATCTCCCTGTGCTATGCGGCTGCTTCTCACTAGCTATCTGCCTTACGTTTGGTAGTGTATATATGTCCATGCCTCTCTCTCGCTTTGTCACAGCTTACCCTTCCCCCTCCCCATATCCTTAAGTCCATTCTCTAGTAGGTCTGTGTCTTTATTCCTGTCTTACCCCTAGGTTCTTCATGACATTTTTTTTTCCTTAAATTCCATATGTATGTGTTAGCATACGGTATTTGGCTTTCTCTTTCTGACTTGCTTCACTCTGTATGACAGACTCTAGGTCTATTCACCTCATTACAAATAGCTCAATTTCGTTTCTTTTCATGGCTGAGTAATAATATTCCATTGTATATATGTGCCACATCTTCTTTATCCATTCATCTGATGATGGACACTTAGGTTGTTTCCATCTCCTGGCTATTGTAAATAGAGCTGCAATGAACATTTTGGTACATGACTCTTTTTGAATTATGGTTTTCTCAGGGTATATGCCCAGTAGTGGGATTGCTGGGTCATATGGTAGTTCTATTTGTAGCTTTTTAAGGGACCTCCATACTGTTCTCCATAGTGGCTGAACCAATTCACATTCCCACCAGCAGTGCAAGAGTGTTCCCTTTTCTCCACACCCTCTCCAGCATTTATTGTTTCTAGATTTTTTGATGATGGCCATTCTGACTGGTGTGAGATGATATCTCATTGTAGTTCTGATTTGCATTTCTCTAATGATTAATGATGTTGAGCATTCTTTCATGTGTTTGTTGGCAGTCTGTATATCTTCTTTGGAGAAATGTCTATTTAGGTCTTCTGCCCATTTTTGGATTGGGTTGTTTGTTTTTTTGTTATTGAGCTGCATGTGCTGCTTGCAAATTTTGGAGATTAATCCTTTGTCAGTTGCTTTGTTTGCAAATATTTTCTCCCATTCTGAGGGTTGTCTTTTCATCTTGTTTATGGTTTCCTTTGCTGTGCAAAAGCTTTTAAGTTTCATTAGGGCCCATTTGTTTATTTTTGTTTTTATTTCCATTTCTCTAGGAGGTGGGTCAAAAAGGATCTTGCTGTGATTTATGTCATAGAGTGTTCTGCCTATGTTTTCCTCTAAGAGTTTGATAGCTTCTGGCCTTACATTTAGTTCTTTAATCCATTTTGAGCTTATTTTTATATATGGTGTTAGGGAGTGATCTAATCTCATACTTTTACATGTACCTGTCCAGTTTTCCCAGCAACACTTACTGAAGAGGCTGTCCTTTCTCCACTGTACATTCCTGCCTCCTTTATCAAAGATTAGGTGACCATATGTGCGAATCACACTAATTTTTTTCCACAAATTATTTCACCCATAAATAGTGTAGGTATGGAGAGAGGAGATAGGTATGTAAACAGGCTTTTAAAAATTGCTGTTCTTGTTTTTGAATGATCTCTGACTAATTGGCCAAGAGTCAAGCATGTTAAAACAGGACTCCTGGGCTTCCCTGGTGGCGCAGTGGTTGAGAGTTCGCCTGCCGATGCAGGGGACAGGAGTTCGTGCCCTGGTCCGGGAAGATCCCACGTGCTGCGGAGCGGCTGGACCCGTCAGCCATGGCCGCTGAGCCTGCCCGTCTGGAGCCTGTGCTCCGCAACGGGAGAGGCCATAACAGTGAGAGGCCCGCATGCTGCAAAAAAAAAAAAAAAAAAAACAAGTCTCCTAAACCAGAGAGTTGTATAGCTAGGCAAGTGAATTGGATTTTTTTATTTTAACTGTACCAAGATTTCTAAGTTTTGTAAACTTGTTTCTGAAATTAATGAAAGTTGCTGAACGAACCTGGGTAGCCTGAGACTTCTATTGCCAGGGACCCCTTAAGTTTTTTAAAATATTTCTTATTTCTTCATAGTTTATCAGGGTTCTATCTGTTTTTCAAATGCTGTAAGGGTAGAGGTGGGGTGAAAAAAAATTCCCCTTAATACTATTTCTAGAAGTATTGATTTATGAGTTGTTGCTTCAAATTCTCTGTTTTTATTTCTCTATGAGCCTACTATGTGGTTTTCTAGGATTTAATACTTTCTTTCCTTGAAGAAAAAAAGTATTATTTCAGAGTTTCTCATAACCAGTCTGGATTTATTCTAGGTTATAACTCATATTCTTTTAGAAGTGCCCTCTTGTCCTAAGGGTCACTTGTAATAACCAGCAGCTAAGAATGGCTTAAACAAGAGATTTTCAGACATTCTTTGAGAGATTTTCAGACTTTCTTTTCTTTTTTGGCATTATATGCTGAGGTACCCATGTCAGCAGGCTCAGGAAGGCCTTTACCTTTGACATTGACTTTACTTTTTTCTATTCTTTTAGGTCTTTCACTACCATTCCTACAGTGGTTGGCAAGATATCGTTTCCACCTCACTCTCCATGTACCATGCCAGTGACATCTTAGCTGCTAGAGTGTGGAGCTGGACTGTGGGAGTCAAGTAAGTGCCTTTTTTACTATTTGGCATGGTTTTTGCTTACTTTGCAAAGCCATGGAGAGGAACTCGAACTCCTTAAGATTAGTTTTTAAAAAGGCACTTGCTTGATCCTTGTGGGCCGGCTCTTTGCTCCAGCCTGCTATTGAATACCTGGTAGCTGACATGATGCTGCATTTAGCAAGGTGACTTATCACAGAATGGAACATTTTTACTAAGGTAGACCCTAAGGGAGGATAGATCTGATCTTGGCTTGATTAGACCATTTATAGCGATGAGCAACCCCTGTCCCATCCCAGAATGAATCAGAGCTTCTACATTAGCACAAACAGTTAGTTAGTCTGGCCTCCTGGAAATTTAACAGGTATGGATGACCAAGCGTCTGCTGGTCTAAACCACTTGAGTTATGTGGAAACTGAACAGCTCTCCCAGGGAAGCCAATGACCTTGGCAATTTTCTGAATTTATTTAGCTTACTATAAGGAAGAAGTGACTGTTGGTGTTAATGAGGTTTGGGTTTCTGTATTTACTGCTAAAGTTGCTAAAACCTGGTATTTTACTTTTGCAGGTCACCTTGTAAATTTTGCCTATGTAAATTAACACCCCCCCTGTTATGTCATTAACAACCATGTAAGGGAGAGTGTTTTCCTGCTCTGTCTTAGGTATTGGTGATGTGACCTGTTCACGCAGGGGAAACTTGAACATTCTCAGGTATGTGAAGATCCTGATTCATAAGCATTTTCACCCTGCAAGCAAAACACAGTTTATTTCAGTGTGCACTCATGTTGTAGTTTTACAAAATCAATCTTGCCAATTGATTTTCTTGCCCTTGATATTACAGAATAGGGATTGGCAAACTACAGCCGAGACAACTGCTTGTTTTTGTAAATAAAGTATTATTGGAAGAGATACATTTGTCATTTACATGTTGTCTATGACTGCTTTTGCACTGCAGCAAGAGTTGAGTTGCAACAGAGCCCATGTGACCCACAAAGCCTAAAATACCTGACTCTTAAAGAAAACGTTTGATTTCTGCTATAAAAGAACCAAACTTCAAGTTGTATTTAGATATAAACTTGGTAGAACCACAGTTGAATTCATTAGGTAGCAGATTAGGGATAGAACTAAAGCTAGAAGCTAGGTCTCCTGCCTCGTTGCCCAGGGTTCCTTCTACTAGGCCGTATACCATGTTAGGGCTACTTGTTTTCCCTACTAGCTGTAAGGCACAGTCTTTTTCCTTTATTTTCCATGAAGTAAAAGCAAAGACTCAATGATTTAAACCACAAAGAAATGATATATTGGAGAATTGACCTTACTTGGAGTTTAGATACTTTTATCATTTGACGATAACTGGGGAATTGCTTCTTAATGAATCACTAAGTGCTTGTAGTGTATACTCAAAAAAGGTTAGGTTAGTTGGAATAAAAAGAAGTTTGAGCCTTAATAATAATTTTATAGCTAGGAGCAAAACTAAAATTGGCGCAGATAGAATGCTTCCTTCATGTAACTATGTGTCTAAGCTCACAGATAGCAGGATTGTATGTATGCGTGTGTGTATGTATGTCTGTATGGGTGTCTTTCAGCTCTCAGAGTGCACTTGGATTGCATTCTGAGAAGAGTTTAGCAGGTGTATTACAATCTGCAGATTACGTTACAGAGTTTTAAATGGAGTTTTAAAAATAAATTTTATTTTAAAACAGTTTTGGATTTACAGGAAAATGTACACAGAATTCCCATATATACCCTATCCCCATTTCCCCTATTATTAACATCTTACATTAGTATGGTACATTTGTTATAATTAATGAACCTATATATACATATTTTTGTAATGAACCAATATTGATACATTATTATTAACTAAAGTCCATGCTTTATTCAGATTCCCTTAGTCTTTGCATAATATTCTTTTTCTGTTCCGGGATTAAATGAATTTTTATTAGTGTGTTCACTGGTGTAGAAGGCATTTATATGACCACCTGAAGGTTAAACTAGTTTTGAAGTCTCTTTCAATTTCCAGGGGTGTGATTAAATGAGTACAGGCTTAACTACTGCAGAGTTCTGACTTGTAACATTTATATTCTGTAACTTGTCAGGAAGGTGGTTACTTTACCTTATTGGTAATAATGGCTTTTCAGTTGTTGATCCTAAATTTTTAGCATCATCAATTCTAGAAAGGATAAGACAGACTTGGTTACTTCTGTTATTGTCACATGCAGAATTGCTGGTGAAAATATTCAAAAGTAAATTGCTTTCTTTGGAAGCAGTGTGGGTCAACTGTCCTATTTCAGTATGTTTATCCTTCTGAAAGTAGTTTTTGAAGTCAGCACCTTCTGATGAATCATTAATCATTCAAATTTCTCTTTAAAGACCTTAAACTATTTTCTTCCTTAAGTTTATTAGTTATCTACCAAAGTTAAACACATGGATGTTCTGTGACTTAGCATTTCCACTTCTAGATTTATATACAACAAAATTGTGTGCATATCGGCACCAGAAGAGATGGACAAAATGTTCATAGCGGGCCTAATTGTAGTAGTCCAAACTGGAATTTTCCTAATGCCTATCAACAGTAGAATGGGTAGATACGTTTCTGGCATAATCACACAATGAATGTTAAACATTGGTCACAGTGAACAAGGAACAGCTATATATAATAATATGTGAATCTCACAAATACAATATTGAGCAAAAGAACCGGGACACTAAAGAGTGTCCATTTACATAAATTTCAAAAACAGATAAAACTATCTGTGGTGTCAGGAGATTGAATACGCTTGTGGGAGATGGAGAAAGTGTTTGGATTGGGATATGAAGGGGCTTTCATGAGGTGCTAGTAATGTTCTGTTTCTTGTTTTGAGTGCTGGTTACGTGGGTGTGTTCACTTTGTGAAAATTCACCAAGCTTATATATTTTTCTGTATTTATGTTATTCTTCAAAGAAAAAAGTGTACAAAAGTAATAGCAACTCTGAAAAACACACACAGAAAATTCACTGCTAACATTTGAGGGTTATATGGAGAAAAAAACTGAACAAATTAACCTTATATCCTAGAATATATGGTGTCTGAATTATAGGGTTATCAAAGTGTCATTGTGTTACTGGAGCTGTTATAGTCCTCTTTGTATAATGAGATGAATAAAGTAGGTGTTAATGGCTGCTCTTTATTGTAACAAGGTTTGGGGAATGCCTCAGAAAAGACATCTTTTCTATTTAGTCTGTATTAGAAAGAGAAACCAAGGCACAATGTCCATCAATTCTTTTTTTAAAAATTTTTAAACTAATTTAATTTATTTTTTATACAGCAGGTTCTTATTAGTTATCTATTTTATACATATTAGTATATACATGTCAATCCCAAGCTCCCAATTCACCCCACCCCCACCACTTTCCCCCCTTGGTGTCCATATGTTTGTTCTCTACATCTGTGTCTCTATTCCTGCCTTGCAGAGCAGTTCATCTGTACCATTTTTCTAGGTTCCACATATAAGCGTTAATATAGGATATTTGTTTTTTTCTTTCTGACATACTTCACTCTGTATAACAGTCTCTAGATCCATCCATGTCTCTGCAAATGACCCAATTTTGTTCCATTTTGTGGCTGAGTAATATTCCACTGTATGTGTGTACCACTTCTTCTTTATCCATTCATCTGTTGATGGTCATTTAGGTTGCTTCCATGACCTAACTATTGTAAATAGTGCTGCAGTGCACATTGGGGTGCATGTGTCTTTTTGAATTATGGTTTTCTCTGGGTATATGCCCAGTAGTAGGATTGCTGGGTCATATGGTAGTTCTGTTTTTAGCTTTTTAAGGAACCTCCGTACTGTTCTCCATACTGGCTGTATCAATTTACATTCCCACCAACAGTGCAAGAGGGTTCCCTTTTCTCCACACCCTCTCCAGCATTTGTTGTTTGTAGATTCTCTGATGATGCCTGTTCTCACCGGTGTGAGGTGACACCTCATTGTAGTTTTGATTTGCATTTCTCTAATAATTAGTGATGTTGAGCAGTTTTTCACGTCCTTCTTGGCCATCTGTATGTCTTTGGAGAAATGTCTATTTAGGTCTTCTGTCCATTTTTTGATTGGGATTTTTGTTTTATTAATATTGAGCTGCATGTGCTGTTTATATATTTTGGAGATTAATCCTTTGTCCGTTGATTCGTTTGGAAATATTTTTTCCCATTCTGAGGGTTGTCTTTTCATCTTGTTTATGGTTTCCTTTGCTGTGCAAAAGCTTTGAAGTTTCATTAGGTCCCATTTGTTTATTTTTGATTTTATTTCCATTACTCTAGGAGGTGGATGAAAAAAGATCTTGCTGTGATTTATGTCATAGAGTGTTCTGCCTGTGCTTTCCTCTAAGAATTTCATAGTGTCCGGTCTTACATTTAGCTCTCTAATCTATTTTGAGTTTAATTTTGTGTATGGTGTTAGCGAGTGTTCTAATTTCATCCTTTTACATGTAGCTGTCCAGTTTTCCCAGCACCACTTATTGAAGAGACTGTCTTTTCTCCATTGTATATCCTTGCCTCCTTTGTCATAGATTAGTTGAACATAGGTGCGTGGGTTTGTCTCTGGGCTTTCTATCCTGTTCCATTGATCTGTATTTCTGTTTTTGTGCCAGTACCATATTGTCTTGATTACTGTAGCTTTGCAGTAGAGTCTGAAGTCAGGGAGTCTGATTCCTCCAGCTCTGTTTTTTCCCCCCAAGACTGCTTTGGCTATTCGGGGTCGTTTTTGTCTCCATACAAATTTTAAGATTTTTTCTTTTAGTTCTGTAAAAAATGCCACTGGTAGTTTGCTAGGGATTGCATTGAATCTGTAGATTGCTTTGGATAGTATAGTCATTTTCACATTATTGATTCTTCCAATCCAAGAACATGGTATATCTCTCCGTCTGTGTCATCTTTGATTTCTTTCATCAGTGTCTTATAGTTTTCTGAGTACAAGTCTTTTACCTCCTTAGGTAGGTTTATTCCTAGATATTTTATTCCTTTTTTTGCAATGGTAAATGGGAGTGTGTCCTTAATTTCTCTTTCTGATATTTCATTGTTAGTGTATAGGAATACAGGAGATTTGTGTGCATTAATTTTGTATCCTACAGCTTTACCAGATTTATTGATTAGCTCTAGTAGTTTTCTGGTGGCATCTTTAGGATTCTCTATGTATGGTATCATGTCATCTGCAAACAGTGACAGTTTTACTTCTTCTTTACCAGTTTGTATTCTTTTTATTTCTTATTCTTCTCTGATTGCTGTGGCTAGGACTTCTAAAACTATGTTGAATAATAGTGGCGAAAGTGGACATCCTTGTGTTGTTCTTGATCTTAGAGGAAATGCTTTCAGTTTTTCACCTTTGAGAATGATGTTTGCTGTGGGTTTGTCTTATATGGCCTTTATTATGTTGAGGTAGTTTCCCTCTATTCCCACTTTTTTATCATAAATGGGTGTTGAATTTTGTCAAAAATATTTCTGCATCTATTGAGATGATCATATGGTTTTTATTCTTCAGTTTGTTAATATGGTGTATCAGATTGATTGATTTGCATATATTGAAGAATTCTTGCATCCCTGGGATAAATCCCACTTGATCATGGTGTAGGATCCTTTTAATGTGTTGTTGGATTTTGTTTGCTAGTATTTTGCTGAGGATTTTTGCATCTGTATTCATCAGTGATATTGGCCTGTAGTTTTCTCTTTTTGTGACATC